TGTGGGGTCTCCTCAGTGTGGACTTGGGTGAAATTACTGTCAGCCTACATAACTGGGTAAACTGGGACTCAGTTGTGCAAGTGATCTGTTCTCTATCAGTCACATCAGAAAACTTGAGACACCTCCTGTTCTTTGTACCTTGACTGCTTGGAAGCTCAGAGCTAAATTTGTGCCCGCTCTCTCGCATGTGGATGGAGCCGTGTGGTCTGTTTCCCATGCACTCTTCCTTTGACTGTGTTTCTTTCATTTGGGTAGTAGATATGTTTAGAATTGCAGCCCAGCTCACACTAGCTTCTCCTCCTCACAGCTGGTGCTAGATTCCAGGTTGTTACACTAGGTCCCCTATATGCAGATGAGTTCTATTCTGAGAGTGCTTTCGTAAGTCCAATTTGTTCGTTAAGTCCCACAGAGTTAGCCTAAGTACCCAACTAACATGATCGGCAATTAGTACTGTATTGTAATAGGTTTATAATACTTTCCACACAAGTAATACATTAAAAACATGCACTTAAAAATAAAAAAAAACATTTTTAATCTTACAGTACAGTACCTTGAAAATTACAGTAATGCAGTGCAACAGCTGGTGCCTCTTAGAAGTGCCAGCTACATCAGTACTGCTTTTACGTTTGCGTCCAGACATCCTCAGCTTGAGAAAAGATACTGCACAGCTGTTGTTTTCTTTTTTTTTAAAGGGGTTGTTTAAATTTATTTTTTTATATAACAATTAATTCCACTTCTCAGTTTAAAAAAAATCACTATAAGGACAAAAATCCACAGCAAAATATAATCTTTATCTGTTCTACACTACACAAAACCACAGTCACTTGCAGGGGAGGTACATGTGTGACAACGTCAGACACGTGAACTGACTCACATGCTTGGACATGCAAACGCATGTTTGCATCTTTGTAGGGGACTTAGAGTACTCTGAATAACGTTATCCACTGAGTTGTGTGCCCTCACACCACCCCCAATTCATATGTTTAATCCGTAACACCAGTGGGATGGTATTTGGAGATGGAGCCTTTGGGAGGTAATCCCATTTACCTAATTCCATTAGATGAAGTCATGAGATGTTCACAATGGGATTAATTCCCTTACAAGAAGGGACACCAGAAAGCTTGCTTCTCATGGTCTCCCTACTCATAGGCAAGGAGTAAAGGCCACACCAGACATGGTGAGAAGACCCCTGTCTGAAGCCCAAGGAGAGAGGTCTCAGAGATGCTGACTGTGCCAGCAACTTGATCTTGGACTCTCAGAGTCCAGAACCATGAGAAAACAAAAGCCTATTGTTGAAGCCCCCTGCTCTGTGGCTTTTTGTCATGACAGCCCAAGTTAACACACTCTTCTGGATAAATGGCAGCCATCTCTAACAAACTGGGCTAAAGACAATTGTTTCCCAGGAATCTGGGACCAAACCCAGAGAGAGTCAACATCTCTCCAGGCAGCTCGAGCCTTAAGAAGTAGACTCAGAGGTTGCAGATAGCTATGTGAATGGGCAACAGGAAAGACGAAATGCTGAGAAAGCGAGAGAAACAGGTGCATGAGATAAATAGAGTGAAGGACAGGCAGCTGGTGCTTCCTGGGATCCAGAAAGAAGCTTTGTTACTGGCACTTTCTTTCCTGTGACCCAGTTCCTTTCTTGCTCTTGGGTTTCACAGATTAAATCTTAAGATTTAAAAAAAACTTTTATATTGCAACATTCCTTTCTTGTTTTTCTTACAAAGCTATCTTGAATTCATTTCTGTTACTCTCAAACAAAAACTCCCCAGTAAGCCTTTTGCTCTGGTCCCTCACCATATACCAGTGTTTACATTCTGGTGTTGCATGATTTTTTGGAAGGTGCCTTAGAATTCCTTTGTGAATTTGGGATTGTGAATAACTGAAAAGAACTCAGATATTCTCTTCTGAAGCTGGTCATGAAGTCTCCTGGATGTCACTGGCAACAAGACAGGGCCTGGGGGAAGTCCAGAACACAGAGAGGTGGGTCATTGACCTGGGGTGTCTTCAGCTCTAGGGTTTTCTCTTCTGCCACGAAGAAAAATTATTCTGGCCTGGCCTGACTTGTTTTGAAAGTATGTTAACTTTTTCTTGGTTTGCTCTTGCTTTGTCAGGAGTTGTCAGTGTAAATTATTTGTGCTTATTTCTGGGAACTTACTCTGAATAGTCCAAGTGATGACTCCAGACTAGGGTGATTGCTGTTATTGAAGACTTACAGAGGTGCTTATGTTTCTAAATATCCTTTGATGAGTCGCCATTTCTGTGGTAACCCAGATAGGATACTCAGCACACACAGGCACTTCTTTGGGAAAACCTGATAGAAGAAAACCTGAATTTACAGAAGACATAAGGAGGAGGTTGGCCATTCGCCTGGGTTTATAGAGGATGCACAGAGCGCGGCTCCCCTGAAGCGGCCCGTGCCTTCTCTGCTCCCCACACAGACCGAGCACAATGTCTCACACAGAACAGGCTCTGAATGAGAATTTTGTTGACTGATTGATGAGCCACTTGGGAAGAAGAGAAATGTGAAGCCAGGGTGATGGTTTGCCGCTGCCAGCTGGAGATAAATCGGAAAGGAGCAGAAAGCACCCTGAGCAGACAGCCGTAGTCAGTGGGGAAATGAGACCCCATTTTTAAAAATGTGATCTGCATACAGTTTGTAGGAACTTCTGGCTGCATAAACCAAGGTATGCAGGGATCTTTCACATCGATTTGCTTGAGGCCTGAAGGACGGCCCCTCCCCCTGGGTGCCAGTATTAACCAAAGGATGAGTGAGGCCCCCGCCACACAGCAGTGCCAGGACCTGGTGTTTTTGCAGAGAAGCTACTGTTCATTTTTCAAGTTTCCAGTCACCCTGGGCGAGAAGCTGCATTTTGCAAACCTGAAACCTTGAGTAGCATGGCCAGCGGGGGCAGCCAGGCTTGCCTTCCTCCTGGGGACCTGCACTGGTAAGGCTTCTTGGTTGCAAAGATTAGAGCAGAGTCCTGTCCCAGTGGAGCTGGCTGAACAAGAAGAGGAATTTAGAATGAAGAAGCAGCACTGCTCCCTGGACTCCAAGGGCAGGAATACAGCTGTGCCTCAGACCCGGGAGTGAAAAGCTGTGAGGGATGCAGGCAGCTCCCTTGCTCCATCCTTATCTCTCGCAGCCTGGCTTTATCTGCCTTTGTAAGCACAAAAGGAATTCTGTGGGGTAGGAGGTCGCTGACAGCCCACAGACCCTCCCTCCAAATGGGGCCAACCCCAACCTGCTGCAAGCCCGGAAGTTGTACCTTATAGCAACTAGTTAGCTCTGACAAGTATAGCTGAATCAGGAGCTCCTAGTAGACACTTCTCTCTCTTTTTTTTTTTAAATGGGATACAGTTGCTTTACAATGTTGTTAGTTTCTGCTATTATACAGTGAAGTGAATCAACCGTCGGCATACATACGTCCCCTCCTTGCCTCCCTCCCACCCCACCCCCATCTCACCCTCTAGGTCATCACAGAGCATCGAGGTGAGCCTCCTGCACCATACGGCAGGTTCCCACGAGCTGTCTGTTTTACGCATGGTGGTGTGTACATGTTAATCCTAGTCTCCCAATTCATCTTACCCCCTCCCTGTGCCCACTTGTCTGTTCTCTTCATCTGTGTCTCTATCCCTGCCCTGCAAATAGGTTCATTTGTACCATTTTTCTAGATTCCACATACCATATTTGTTTTTCTCTTTCTTACTTCACTCTAATGACAGATGCTAGGTCCATCCACATATCTACAAATGACCCAGTTTTGTTCCTTTTTAAGACTGAGTCATATTCCACATACATGCAGCATATTTTCTTTATGCATTCATCTTTCAGCAGACATTTAGGTTGCTTCCATGTCTTAGCTATTGTAAATAGTACTGCAACGAACACCGGGGTGCATGTGTCTCTTGGAACTATGCTTTTTTCACGGTATATGCCCAGTAGTGAGATTGCTGGGTCATGTGGCAGTTCCGTTTTAAGCTTTTTAAGGAACTTCCATGCTGGTCTCCATAGTGGCTGAATCAATCTACATTCTCACCAAAAGTGTAGGAGGGCTCCCTTTTCTCCACACTGTCTCAAGAATTTGTTTGTGGCTTTTCCAGTGATGAATTTGGTTCAACACGAACTCAGCAAATGTCCCTTCTGGGCCTGTCTGTGCAGGTGTGAGGGGGTAAATTACGCAAGAATTGGCCTTAGCCTCATGAGTTCATTGTCCGGCTTGGGAGACAGATAGGGAGAGAGGTATGGAATGGAAATCGCCAGGATGGGGCCCATCACAGATTCTCAGTGGTGTTCAAAGGAGGGATGTATGCCTTTATTCGCTCAACGTTCCTGCATGCTTCCCATGGCGAGGAACTGCTCTGAGGGTCTGGGAGTGCAGTGGTGTGTATGACAGACCTCTGCCCTCAGGGGCGGAAACTGGCAAGACATGAACATAACCAAGATAATGTCAAGGTAGAGAGGAAGGAAAGAGCCCTCAAATAAGTAGGTCAGGAGACTGCGTAAAAGGCCGTCGTGGGGTCATCCATGTGAGCGTGCATATCAACCAGGATGAGGGTAAAGCCTGGGGTAGAACACATAACATGCACCAGCCTCCAATGAATGATCGAGGGTCAAAGGGGGAGTGGGGCACAAAGGCCAGAGAGGGGGCAGGGGCCAGATGGCAAGGCTCTTGGAGGGCCTTGTGGGTGGTGATGAGCACTGGGATTTTAAGCCCAACTGGAAGATGTGAGTCAGGCTGGATCTCAGGGACGAGGGTGCCAGGGGGCCTGGCAGCTCGGCGGGTTGGGTCTGGGGGAGAAGGGCGCAGATGTGGAGGGAGAATCACTGGGTCTTGCGAATGGGTTGGATGTAAGGAGTGAAGAAAAGAGATAACCCAGGATGAATTCTTGGACTTTGAATTAAAGCAGCTGGGGAAATTGTGGGGCCACGTACCAGGAAATGGAAAACTAACTGAGAAAAGAAACACTGGTGGGATCAAGAGCTCTGGCACATCCTATTACGGGTCGGGTTTCTCTTGGACATCCAAGTGGAGATGCAGGGCAGACAGAGGCAGTCTTGTGGTCCAGAGCAGCGCCAGAGTGGAGGCGTGCATCTCCGGGCTCTGAAACGGGCAGCTTGGGTGGATAAGGCGAGCCAGCAGGTGAGCCTGGGTGAGAATGAGGGACTTGGCATGTGAGCAGGCGAAGAGGCTGACACAGTGATTCCCGGGCTCTGGAACACTCCGCCGGGGGGCCCTGAAGTACACGCCAGGGAAGAAGCAGGAGAGTGCTTCTGAGTGGTCGGGACAGCAGGAGCCGCGCAGGAGGAAGGGCCAGCGGGGGTCTGGAAGAGTGTGGACTTTCCTAGAGCTGGGGGAGGGTGGGGAGAGGCGCAGGTGTTGGCGCGCCAGGGGTCCTGTGCCCGCACTGAGGCCTGGGAGCTGCCTTCTCTGGCTCAGTGGTCTGGACCACATTTGCAACCACATACACCTTGCACCCCCTGGTCACTCTGGGGTCAATGTGCTGCAGGCTAGGGCTAGTCTCTGCTTTATTTCCTACTTGGGAACCCATGTAAGACAGGGGACAGTCTTGTAGGATCCATTGCTCTATTGTATAAGCAAAATCTTCATTTCTGTTTTAAAAAACTTAAATTTTTTTTATTGAAATATAGTTGATTTACAATGTTGTGTTATTTTCAAGTGTATAGCACAGTGATTCTGTGTATATATATATATATATATATATATATATATATATACACGTGTGTGTATTCATGTGTGTTTTGGTGTGTGTGTGTATTCAGATTCTTTTCTCTTATAGGTTATTACAAAATATTGAGTATAGATCCCTGTGCTATATGGTAGGTCCGTGTGGCTTATCTATTTTATACACAATAGTATGTATATGGTAATCCTAAATTCCTAATTTTTCCCCCTTTCCACTTTGGTAACCATATGTTTGTTCTCCATGTCTGTGGGCCTATTTCCGACTTCTGAATTTTCATTTCTATGAATAATGAATCTCTGGAGGTACACTGTATGGGTGATGCCACGTACTGGGCTGCACCAAGGCAGCAACTGAGACTTTCTGCTGTGGACCGTGGGAAGTCCCTGGAGGGTTTTAAGCTGAAGCATCATATTTGCATTTGAACGGATGGCCTGGCAGCTCGGCCAAAGGTGGGTCTGCACCTGTCTCTTGGCCCCTGCCTGCTTTCATCTTCTGTCTCACTTTCCGTGATGAGTTCCGAAGGGGCGCCTGGATCCGGAGCTTGGGACTCTTGTGCAACCCTCTGCGCAGACAGGTTAGGAAACTGCACCGAGTTTGTCAAACACAAGCCTTGCAGATCACACAGGGAGTCAGGGCCGGGTACGAGCTGAACCCGGAGGCGCGCGGTCAGCATCGCTCCTCCTGATCAGCCCTCAGAAAGAAGAGACGCTGCTCTGGGTGAGACTTGGGCACGCAGGATGTTTAGGCCTGGGAGAGGGGCAGGGGAGGCGGTGTGGTTTGGACACCGTACTTCGCCTTCCCTGAAGAGGTCCAGATCCCACTGCTGCCACTGGATCTGGAGGCCGGAGGCTGCTCAGGTAAAGCCTGAGGCGTTGAAGTGAAGGTCGTAGACTCCATCTCCATGCCTTTATAGGTTTATTCTCTCCAGCGATAAATACATTGGGGGTTTTCTCTGTGTCAGGCACTCTTTATACAGTGGTTAAAAAAAAGAGTGTCCCTGACCTTATTCAGTGTATGTAGAGTTGAGTGGAGGAGGTGGATACTGTGCAAACATGCCAACACACAGATTATTTTCATTAATAAATTTTGTTCTATTTAAATTTTTCGAAACTGAAGTTCAGTTGATTTACAGTGTCGTTTCAGGTATACAGCACAGTGATTCAGTATGTTTTGCAGATTCCATTCCACCCTATGTTATTACAAGAGACCAGGTATAATTCCCAGCGTGGCTGTCCGTTTCATGGATAGTAGTTTGTATCTGTTAATGCCGAACTGCTGATTTGTCCCTTCCCCCTCCCTCTCCTTCGGTCTCTGGGAGTCTGTTGACTGTGTCTGGGAGTCTGTTTCTGTCTCCTATATATTCACGTGTATTATTTTTTAATTAACGCCTTCAGCGCCGCCTTGGCCCCATGAGGAAGCTGGTGCTCCTGACTAGCTGATGCGCCCCCGGGTGGTCATCTCCTGCCGCCCCTCAGAGCACGCCTCCGCCCTCTCCCGTGTTCACACAGCCTCCTGGCTCCTTTCTAACTCATTTTTACACTCAGGTATTTTTTTTTCCGTGGAGCTCTGCTTACCCACCCTGTTACCACCCATCTCCCCGTGTGCTAAATCCATATCTCACATGTCCTTCCCTTTCTGCACACAGCAGGCAGCACTCTGGATATTTCTTTATGTCTCCAAAAAAGGACTCTAGTTGCAAGCATCTGAAATTGAATGAAACCAGCCTAAATGTTTTTAAAAAGTGACTGTGATTATGGTGGGTGGGTGGTCTCTCAGGGCTCATGAAACAAGGAAAGTCATGAAGTGAGTCTGGCTTCAGGTGCCACTGGGTCCAAGGGTGTGTCATCAAGAAGGGGACCCTTTGGCCTGTTGCTCGGCTGGTCCCCCCACCTCCTCTGTTAGGTCTTATTCTCAGGAAGCTGCCCCCACTGGGCGGTGAACACAGCTGCTGGCAGCTCCAAGCTCTGTTTCCAGGAGAAGGCATTTCTTTTCCAGCCATTTCAGCAAAAGTCTGGACCGAGTCACATGTCTTTCCTTGAGCCAGCCGTGCAGTCAGGTCTGTGGACACTCTGACCGGCTAGATGTGGAGCTCGTGCCCTGGACATCAAGAGGGCCACCTCTGGCTGGAACTTTGTGGGCTCAGAAGTGGGCTTCCTCAGAGAAAAACCCAGGCATGATGGTTGGAAGAAGGGATTCTGGACTAGCAAATACCAAATATGTCCACCTTGGTTTCAGCCAAAACCCCCTTACTTAGTAAAACAAGGACCAAAACTGTGTCTTACTGCCTTTATATCCTTACTGGCTCTTCCAGGACTGGAACGCAACATTCAGGACATATTTAGCAAGCAAGTGTGTGCAGAGGTGTAAGAGGTGTCGGGACTGGGGAAGACACACACAGCTTTTCATATGGAGTGGCCAGGATGTAAGGTGGGCATTGACCAATGGGTGGAAATGCAGGGATGGATGAGAGAGGAATTTTGAGGAATGACTGGCAGGACTTGGTGACAGATTATCATGAGAAGTTGTCCAGGAACGAAGGTCTAGGATTTCTGTTCTGAGTAACTGGGAACAAAAGGACCACTGCCTGGGAAATAGTGATTTGTCCTTGGATATCCTTCACCTTGGGTCATCCCAGTGGAGATGCTCAGGTGTTTATAAATCAGGGGCTGGAGCTCAAGAAAGAGGTCATCACTGGTCCTAGAAGTCTGAGCATTTCCTGTTTCTTTCTTTTTTTTTTGCATTATGAAAGTATGATAGCACATTTATAGGACTCTTAGAAAATATAGAACAAAGTTATGTATAGTTCCACTGTAGGTGACCATTTTCAAGGATAATCTGTGAATGTGCCTCTAAGAAACAGAGTGGGTAATGGTGGGTGGGGAATGGAACTTCTCTGGCAGTCCAGTGGTTAAGATCCACTGCAGGGGGTGTGAGTTCAATCCTTGGTCTGGGAACTAAGGTCCTGCATGATGAGTGGTGTGGCCAAAAAATAAATAAAAAATAAATCAAACAATGGTGGAGTTTATATACACACACACACACACACACATACTCAATATATATATATATTCAAAAAAGAAAGAGAGAGAGTGAGCGGAAAATAGGGCTCAGGCTGCAACATGGAGACTGGCCCTATGGGAGGGTGAGCTGGAGGAGCCGGCTGCATCTTGGGGACCAGCCCTTTATGGGAGGGTGAGCTGGAGGACGGAGACCAGCTGATGACGATGGCATGGCCAGATGGAAGGGGAATGGGCAGAAGCAATAAGGTTATCCAAACCCAGGGGAGGAAAACATCCCAGAAGAGGAGGGCAAAAATGTGAGTTGATCCAAATGGTCAAATGGGATTGGCTCAAGAAAACATCTTGACCTGTAGCATTTAAAGGACCACAGGTGATCTTCAAGAAAGCAGTTTAGGGAGTGACAGGGCAGGAGGAAGATTCCAGGGAGCTGAGAGATGAGACGGGGAGAAACCTGGACGTGGATCAGCAGAGTCCTTTCCATAAAATACAGGGCTCCCAGTCCCGCCGGCCTGAAATAGAGTGAGAATAGGGCTTGAACACAGTTGCTTGAACAATCATTTGGGGCCTCAGTTTCCCTCCTCCTAAAGTTTAGGTTGAAATAGCTGCTCCTAACCTTAATATTAAATTTACAAATGGCTTTGGTCTCAGAGCAAAGGGTAGGAAAATAAGATTTTTTCCCCTAACATACGTCTCCTTTTGAAGGTGATGGGTGAGGATGGAAATTCGCATTTGAAATCAATATTTTAGACGACTTAATGGCAGCATGACAATTGCACATTTGTGGCTCTCAAAAGGGCAGATCTGTTCAAATCAGAGAAGATCGAGCAAAATCGGTAATTTCACGTCTTGCTTGAGAAGGAGGATTCATAGAGAATTTTAAAAAGGAATAAGGTTACTGCAAGGGACTCCCTTTCATGTTAGTCTTTTTTTTAAAAAAAGACTCTTGGTACCAGATTCATGGCACAGCTGTTGAAAAGAAGGCTCATTAATTAAAAAGCTGCAGTGGCTTTCCTTGGTATATAGAAACGAATTCTCATTTCTCACGGAGACATTCAAAGTCCGTACAGTCTGAGCCCAACTTCATTTCAAGTTTTCTTAGGTATAAAAATCCACTGCCCTTTGGACATTACTGGCCCTTCACAGCACTTATTCATCCCGCGAGTGTTAACGTGCCAGGCCCTGTTCTAGGTGCAGAGGTTATGATGGTGAATAAGCACACTCGGGGCTCTGCTGAGGCCATGCCATTGGGCTCAGACAGCAGGATTAGAATTTAGAGTCAGGCTGTGAGATTTGGGGGAAATCTTTTCTCTTCTCCAAGCCTCCATTTTCTCTTGTTTAAAGTGAGGTAAGAACACTGATTTTTAGGTTTTATGCAGATGAATGAGAAAATAAATGCAATGAACTTGACAATAGAGCTGGTTCCAGTTACCTTTAGCTTCCTCACTGCTGCTAAAATCCTCTCTGCCCAGGTTGTCTGTCTTCATCAGACTTGTTGGTTGGCCTGGACACAGAACCACTGAACTAAACATTGCCCCTGTGAGGATGCGTTTTTGCCCGTTGGCTCCTGTGACCACTGGGGAGCTCTGGCTTTATTAGGCAGGGGAAGCATAAGACTTTGGAACAAGTCAGAGATAATGTGATTGGAGCTGGGGTTCCAGCCACTGTAATATCCACACGAGAAGTGGCCAGGAAGGATGAAGTGATGTAGATGTGAAAATCTAGAAGTGACCTTTGGTATGGACAGGGAGGAAGAGATGTTAAATTTAGAAGAGAAACAACACTGGTGGTTGGAAATGAGGCCTTTCAGAGAGGGGAGTTGGTTTTAGGGGGACGTGCACATGTGCTTAATCACCAAGTCGTGTCTGACTCTTTGCGACCCCGTGGACTGTAGCCCTCCAGGCTCTGTGTCCATGGGATTTCCCAGGCAAGAACACTGGAGTGGGCTGCCATTTCCTCCTCCAGGAACTCTTTCTGACTCAGAGATGGAACCTCAGTCTCCTTCGTCTTCTGCATTGGCAGGCGGATTCTTTGCCACTGAGCCATCTGGGAAGCCCTGTTAGGAGTAAGAGGTGGAGTTTAACTTAATCCGAGAATCCTAGAGTGTTCTCTTGGTAATCTGGGACCATCAAGATATGGGGTATTTCAATCGAGGTAGTGTTAGTCACTCAGTCATCTTCGGCCGTTTGCGACCCCAGGGACTGTAGCCCGCCAGGCTCCTCTGTCCATGGGCTTCTCCAGGCGACAATACTGGAGTGGGTTGCCATTCCCTTCTCCAGGGGATCTTCCTGACCCAGGGATCAAACCCAGGTCTCCTGCAGTGCGGTCAGATTCTTTACTGTCTGAGCTGCAGGGAAGCCCTTTTCAGTCAAGGTAGGAAGATATTTCAATCCTTCTTAGCTCATGACCCAGTAAAGAGAACCCTGAGCACCAGACAAGATTCAGAGGCCTGTTGACTTGGGGAAGTGGCGGACGAAGGTAAGGCTTGAATTTCTTGGTGTCCTGATCGTGCCTCCTGGGCACAAGCTGGAGTGTTCTCATGGCCTGAAATCTCCCTCAGGATGGGTGTCCCTGCCCAGTGAGATGGCTATGTTGCAGGCTGCCTGCCTGTCTGCCTGTTCTCTGGCTCCTAGCTTTGCTTAACAATGAGAAAAGG